CACTTCTAAGAGGACATGACTTTATTGTTCAGTGAAGCCATAAGATACAATAGATAAGACAATGTACCATACAGTGCTTTGGCACTATGAATGCATGTCTTTATTGTTCTCCTTACAAGTAACAATGGAAGTAACCTAGCCAGAAGTAGTAATTTGTAGCGCTAGGTCCTTCAGGCTCAGGCTACTACTTAGTATTTTGTAGTACTGTGTGGTGTAAGCCAAACAATATGCTTGGCAGTTAGGGTTAATATGGCTGTTCTTTCTTTGGTACACACACTCTGTGTGAATAGAAACTAGGTTGCTAAAAATCTGATAAAACCATGTCGTTTTATTCGTTCATCAAATATGATGCAAATATTGCCCACTTCACTTTGCGAAACACTTGATGATCACCTCAGGATAACTTGACTACACCACGAGATAAATCAGTCAGTGTTTGGTTTACAACACCTCCATCACAGATTCTGATCGTTTGAAGTGGTGACTAATTATTTTGATATATTAAAAGTATGTCTATTTACAAGAAATTAATTGAAAAATCACCAGCACTTATCCAAACTTCCTCTATGATGAAATGGGTTAAGTTACATGTAGCTCTGAAGAGTGTGCAAAATATGCCACACGCTCTAGTATTCATATGCACACAATACCCATGGTCATAGTCTGTGGTCATGGTCTAGTTCTTTGGTAGCATTTCGATCAGGTATGGTTCTTTTGGGCTGTGACAGCTACACAGCTATGGCAAATGCCCTATGTGACTTGCTCTAGGCCGCTCCAAACACAGAATCTGTGGGTGAAGTGCTATCAAATGAATATTATTTGTTAAACTGGTAAGGCTCACCTGTATGGATATTTCTTGAGGTTCGGAGTGAGAAAAGCTTCTGCAGGACCGATTCCAGACAGCCAGTCATTTTCTTTCCCATACATCAAGGTTTCTTCCTCACAACTGTCCTTTCATTTTCTCCAGTCTCGTTTCCAAGACTGCAGCTTGTGTCATGTCCATGAATTCCTCCTTTTTTGAAATTCTCAAAGTCAGAGTCAAGATTGAGAGTCCGATGCTGCAGAGGTTAATTTTGATTTCCGGTGTTTGTTGAAGACTATGCCTTTATTCTAATATCCAGGGACTCCTGCACAGTTCTCATTGGGGGCCAAAGTTGGATTTTAAAGAAACTTGACCATGTAAAATTGCCAGTTGGGAGGCATTTGCTGTGATTTTTTAATAACTTATTGCATTTCTAAAATTTCAAACGAGTTCAAGAAATGCCACGTTGATTTTTTAATACAAAAGAGAACATCATGCGCAATAAAGCACATGAGCAGAAAGTATTTTTTTCAGTCTTTTTCAGCATTTTGACAGATCACATTCCCCAGTTTAATCAGGAAATTAGTAATTGGTAATAAGTACTGGGTTATGGTTTATGGCTGTACATTATATTGGTTTTAATTGCTGGGGGTTATATAGAAATGAAGGTTTGGGGTAGGATCACGCAGGATGTGGTTATGTATGGTTCTGAAAAGAACCTGGTCAAGGGTTAGTTGAGGTTGGTATGGTTAATGGTTAGTGGTTAAGGAGCTCGTTATTTATTATTGATGCTTGGCGGTTAGTTGAGGTTTGCATGCATTGTTTGAATGGCTATGAGGAAATGATCTGGAAATACTGTTTATTCGCTTGGTATATAGAGATGCTAGACTGATGCACAGTGACTCAATAAAATAAGAATGCAAAATTAGCTTGTGTTTCAGAAGTAGTGCATCTTTTGGGTTCGATTTGCTCCACACAGCAGGCTAACCCTGGATAACTCAAAGGGAAGGCAAGTCCATTGATACTCAATCTCATATCACTCTAGGTCAATTGTTTCACTTCCAGTTCAGTATGCATGCATCTTCACTGCTCCTTTCTTCCCGAGTGCTGTATATGCGCAGGCATAAATTTTGTTCCAGCCTTCCTTGCTGATTCAAATCAAGGCGCACAGAGATCATCTGTAAAAAAACAAAACCACAACATAATACCTTGGGAAGAGTTCACGGACGCCAGAAAATACTCCCTACAGTGACCTATTAGCAGTCAGAAAGCAAAAAACATGTCCAGAAAAGTTCAATTTAGGAGGGAAAAACCCAGGTCGTTTACTTAGAAAATACTTAGAATTTTTCAGACCAATCCCGTAGGGTTTGTGCACAGGGTGTCAAGTGGCTTCCATACAAGGAACTCTTTCCAAAACTTTTTATCATTTTTATCCAAGCCTGGGCAGATCTATTTAAAAGACTTTGGGACAGGATTTTGACACTCCATCCCATTTTTATCTTACATTTCACAGCTTCATAGCTTTCCAGACCTTGAGAAGCTCAGCAGAATTTGGGGCAATCCTTCTGTTTTGGACTCTACATATATTACACTGCCAAAACGTTAAAATTTCAAATTTTTTTCCAAAGTCCTCCAAGAGGTGGCTCTTCAACCCTTTGTATACAAAGAAGACTTACTGAGGAAGAAAAGTTGAGAAGTGGATATCTGAACTTGGAGCGGTACGGACTGTGCTTTTCCTTTTGCATCTGTACTGGTACAACTGACGACAGTAGGCCTGACTTATAAATTTCACTGTATGACATATATATCTGGTTTCGTGCATACGTTTTGCCACAAATACTATTTTTCTAGAAAGAGTTCCATGTAGGATGCTACCCGACACCCTGTGCATACACCGTATGAGACTGGTCTGAAAAGTTGTGTTTTCTATGTAAACTTGTTTTTTCCCTCCCTGAAATGAACTTTTCTGGACATGTTTTTACTTTCTGACGATTAAAAGGTCACTGTAGGGAAAAATTACTGGCATCTGTATAAAGAAAATCTTGTCAAAATTTACATAAACTTCCCAAATCACCTTTGCTTCCTTAGGAAGTCTGGCATTCATTCCCATTAGCACCCTGTTCCTATAATAAGGATACAAAGTCCACATTTTCGAAATAAGCGGGCAGTGATGTCCTCTTTCATATCAGGAAGAAAAGAGGGAAGGGCTTTGGTTTTTAAGGGAAATTATGGGGAAAAACGGCAGCGTAAAATGACGCGACGAAGAGCTGCGAATGAAGACAAATTCGCGCATGTAGTCTGGTTCTTTAACCTGGAACCATAGCAATTTCTTTTATGAAATTCAGTATAGCCACAAAAGCTGGGTCAGGTAACCAGACATGAAACAAAATGGCATGTTGTCTTTCGCCGAACTCGGGTAAAAAAAATTCTGGTTTTCTCGCTTAAATATTGTCAAAATTTACCCAAACTAGAGCTACTAGGATTACAAATGGATCCTCAAGGTCTGAAGTTTGAAAAAGTGAACTCCGTTGTCCTTATTATAGGGACAGGGTGCTAATGGTAATGAATGCCAGAAGTCATACACAAAGAGTTAAAGAGCCATTTTGTGGAGGACTTTGAGAGAAAACTTGAAAATTCAAGAGTTCCAACTTCCATATCCAGACATCACTTGACACCCTGTCGCAAACCTCATGAGAATGGTTCGGAAAATTACGTGTTTCCAATTAAAATGCTACTAAATGCTACTAAAATGTGACTTTTTAAAGCTATGATTATGATATCACTTTCTAAATGACTAATAACCTGCTGCACAGGACATTGAATCAGTAATGTCCATACATGGAATTCCCAGTCACCCCTACCAAACCTTGCCTATGTGACGTGAAACGAAGTGAACGAGTCACAGTCGAAGTTTGTGCTAAAAAAAACCTGGTGTTTCGAACCATTATAATTATTTCAGTTTACTCTTTACAACAGTTAACTATACTACTTTCACCTATGGAGGTGAAAACTGCTCCATTCCGCTTAAAAACAGCAGACTTACTTTGAATTTCGAGATGGCGTGGAGAAAAGCTCCTTCCTCAATGCCCGCGAATTTCTGAATGCGCGCGTCACCCCACGTGTTGATTTCATTGTCATGCAGTTACACTGGTTCCCGTTCCTGCATTCACTTTTATTTTTAATTCATTGCAGCGGAAACCAATCATTGCGCAGTTGAAATTCGATGGAGTAGGTAACCCCAGGGTCCTGTTTGTAGAATAAATGTTTCAATAGGCCAGTACTTTTATTTATTTAGTTATTTATTTATTCATTCATTTTAATTTGTTGGATTATAACCCACAGCTCTGAATAATAGCGTTTTACAAAGAGAAAATTAAACAGAAATCTAATTTTACACAAGATTTACATCTGAATTACGAACAGCGCCCTCGGTTTAGTTACCGATGTTATGACAGAAAGGAGGTGCAAGCACTGGCCGATTAAACCTACGCAACGTACTTTATTCGTCCTGGAAATACCCTAGATAACATTTTACGACTGATCTCTTAAGGGTTATTTTCATTTCATCTCACCCTCCAACCCTGGCAAATTCCATGTATGTTTGTCAATTAAAAATGACTCACAGAATGACCCAGAGGAAAATTAAATTGTGTGCAATCGACAATAAAGATGCATGGGGCGGTATACATAATCCTCCACTTTCTGAAAAGTTAGTGAATTGTTTTTTAATAATCCCCAAGTTTTTGATATCGAAAACAAAAGTTGGCATTTTCAAGATATGTTTCTGTTTTAACGGTCGGTATAGGGGACTGCAGCAGCAGGTGCACGAAGCTCTCGGTGCACGGCGCCCCCTAGTAAAATCAAGTGCCAAGCCTTTGCCAAAATGCCACATTTCATCAACTTTCTCACAAATAAGATGCTGGGAACGTTATTTTTGCATGCTTGAGCAGTCCACTGGGGCTAAGAGTGAAGAGTAACTTCTCCCATGACACAAATACTGATGGGTTTATATCAGCAGTGAGTGAGAAAATGTTATCAACAGGTCATCCTTCCCCGACGGATTTCGAATGAGTTTTACAGGTCAATTGCAAGGGAAACTACTGTAAAACATCTCGTCACATTCATGTGGGAAACCACTGTGCCGCATAAACTCTCTTTGTTGACTTTTTACGAATACTATCCAAATAAACGGTCAAAATTGTTCCAGATGATACATATTTATTCTACTTTTCGCCAATACAGACTAATCAATACTAAAACTCTAGTACAAGATCTTTTTGTCCGTCAGCTATCGAGTACATCCACAGATTTTCGTAGTTTTTTTTTTAAGAAAACAACAGATGGAAAAACGAAAAAGAGTTTCATTGAGAGCAGCTTGTACAAACTATACACACATAGTAATTTCAATAATCTGAGCGGGCATACCTGTCTGACTGATGTTCATGTCGACATTGCTATTCCAAGATAAATTTCAGGTTTTCCGACACACGTTGATGCAATTTGGACAATTTAACAGTTTCGCCCAAAAATTGAAAAAAAAAACTACGAGGGTTAGCCTTGCAATTTAATCAAAATCGTGTCAAAATGGACTTTTTCTGAAAGAGTTCAGAAAAGTATTCCGAGATGAAGGGCAAGTTTTCTGAAACTTCTAGAAAATTTTGAGGCAATTTAGACCGTTTAAAAGTTTTCGCCCTTAATTTAAAAACTACTAGGGGGTTAGCCTTGTAATTGGATTAAAACTTTGTAAAAGGACTTTTTCTAAAAGAGCTCAGAAAGGTAGTTCGAGATGAATTTCATGCAGTTATGATCATTTTAAATTTTCCCCAGAATTTGAAAACCTTCAAAGAGTTTAGATAACTTTGCAATGTAATTAAAGTTTTAACAAAAGTGGCCTTCTTCTAAAAGAAGAGAAATTTATTTCAAGATAAAATTTTCACCAAAAATTTGAAAAAAAAATTGCAAGGGGTTAGCTTTGCTGTTTCATTGAAATTTCACCAAAAATTGGACTTTTCTGAACGACTTTGAATTGAACATTTTCAATCCAAAAATATAGAAATTGGATTAACAAAAAGCTGGTACTGTTTCCATTAAGAAAAAGGAGCTTCAGAGCAGAATTTGTCACGTTTTCAAATAAAATAAACCTTTACACAGATAACCTTGGTTTTACATGTAAATTATCTGACAGCTTCATTTTCTAATCCGCATGAAAACTACTACCCAGATTTTTTATCAAGGTTTCCAATGTTTTGTTTCAAACTCTTTTTCTTCCATTCAATCCTGTATCAACCATCTTCACTACCAGTTTGTCTTAAATCGTAAACCGTCTGAACTCCACCATTTCTTAAATATTCCATCCCTTATTTCTTTACTTAAATATGCAAGTCTAAAATGACTTTTAGGCAAATGCATCTCAGAGGCAGAAAGAGTAACAGTTTAGACATCCCAAAAGGCAGGACCTCCAGGAAATGTAAAATTTCCTGAAAATAAGTTCTTTATCACACAGAATCATTCAATCACGATGCACTGCAAACAGAAGTGTTATCCAACATCTAATTCATTTGCCCCAGACGTTTTTATACACTGTACTTGTATCTGTTTTGAGGAGGGGGCAACATGTCTCTTTCCCTCTTGCTACTGCTTCTGTTATTTCCTGTCCTTTTTGCTGTATCTGTCCTCCTTCCTGTCAGAGTAGTCCTTAGAGTGTCTTTCACTAGGACCCCTGTCTCTTCTGTCATCCCGTCTGTCATCCCGTCTGTCATCCCTTCTGTCTTTCTCATTTTTGATTCGCGATGTGTCCCTGTCTTTGGAGTCACGATCTTCCCAAGAGCTCTTGTGGTAGTGCTTGTCACGGATGTGTTCCGACAAATGACGATCGTGGGAATCCCTATCCCGATGCTGTCTAGCGGGTTTGGATCCAGTGCGTCTGTCATCGTCAGAACTATCGTTTTGCTGCTGCCCATGACCGTTTTGGCTTCTCCCAGGATCTCGAGATGTCCTCTCTTTCTTGTGACCATGTCCTCTGTGTCTATCGCTGGGATGCAGCTTGCGGTCATTGCATACCTTGCTTCCTCTCTCATCCCCACTGCTAGAATCCCTCCTGTTTCCTCCAGGGCCATCTCTGTCTCCCCTGCCGCTCTGACATCTCCGTCTGGACTTCTTCCCCTGATGATGTCCACCATCTGAGCTCTCCTCACTGCTGCTGGTGGTGTCGTCACTGCTCTCCCTAGGCCTCTTGCGCTTTTTCTTCTCCCTGTGGTGCTTCCCCGGTTCATCCTCCGATGAGCCGCTGCCACTGCGCCGTTGCCTCTTGTGACGGTTCTTCTTCTTATGCACGGAGCCAGAATGTTTCTTCTCCATGCGGTCCAGCTTCCTAATCAATACACCAACAACAACAAAAATAAAAAACAGGGTCACTTTCCAAGGAAGAATTTCCTCACAGGCGGCTAGGTGTCATATTTAAAAAGCAGAATTCAGTTTCAAATCCAGCCAGAAGCAGTTAAAGTGTTTTTTTTTCTTGGGGGGGTTGCAAACTGGTTCAATAAACAACACTGTGGAGAAGACCGCACTGACAGCTGTGAACAGCACAGGTGTGGCACCTGTATTGCTCGTGCGCAACCATTTCACCCTTATTTATAAAACAAAACAGCATCAGTCTCTCCTGGGCAGCGAGTCATGTAAAATGAAGAGGCTGCACTTCAAAGTTGCTTACTTGAGGAGTTTTTTCTTTTGTTTCTTGGTCAACGAGTTCAAGAAGGCTTCCTCGGGAGGAGGGCCGTCATCGGAATCATCATCACCAATTAAATCCTGTTAAGGAAAAAAAAAAGATTACCACCTGCATTTGTTTTCTGTTCTGTTCAGTGCTGGCGATCATCATTGTGAATGACACAGACATTAACAGGCTTCTGGCCGAAGCCTATCTGACAGCGGTCCACTCTTACCTTACTGTAGTTCGCATCGTCGATGCTCCTGCCGAGCACGCTTTGTTTGAAGGCATAGCCGTCGCGTCGCATATCCTCCACCAGCTGATCCTGATGCACTGGTCGCCCGTCAGGCTTCTCCTCAGTGGTCTTGTATAAGGGGCACTGTGGCAACAAACCAACAAAGAAAACAGGATAAGGATAAGATAGAGGGAAGAGTAGCCACTGGGTATCTTCGGAACAACAGGTGGTTGATGACTCAAACTTAATGATATCAAGCCATAATTAGGTAAAAGAACTATTACGATGTATTACGATTTTATATACAATCATTGGTGGAGAAGTTTAAAATGGTGAATTTAAAGCTTTATGCATTTCGCTTTCAGAGGAAGTCATGTCCTACACACACAACTCTATGGGAACTGGCTGTAGCCACTACCATAGACTGGTGCTTAATTTCAGGTCATAGCCAAGTAACTTGGACACGGCCGGACACACAAATCAAAGCTACTGCCTTGATTGGTATTTTTGCCATCGTTGACAATAAATTGGGCTGTGTACCTCTCTGTCCGTTGGGATGTGGCCCATCTGATTGCATTTCACACACCGTACGTTCCGCACCACTACACCATCTCCCGCACTGGACCCAACGGCTGTTGAGCTTGAACCCTGGGCCGTTGCTGCTCTTTTCCACACTAGCTTTCCGTCTGTCTCCTTGTCTGCTTCTTTCTGGTAGGCCTTGGGTGCCTCATAGATGAATGTCAAGCCATGCTTGACTCGTTCATCGCCCATCAGCTGCCTGAATATTTGGAATTAGAAAAATAGTTAAACGGAAATAGTTTGATTTTGGAGGGAGAGGGTGTTTCTGCATTTTGTATTTTATTTTTTCAAAAAAGGGAATAACGAGGGTTCTGTCAAAATAATTAAACAAAATTAATTGAAATGAGGGATTTAAACCTTGAACCTTTGGAGAACACTACCTGTATTCAACTAAGCTACCCCGAGTGTAAGATTTGAATTTTTCACCTCTGAAATATACTACAAGTGCTCCATCAGCCGAGCTATACTTCAGTGGCGAGCAGGATTTGAACCTCTCACCTCTAGAATACACTTCCAGTGCTCAACCAACTGAGCTGCCTTCAGCAGTGAGTTGGAATTGAACCTCTGACCTCCGGAATACACTGCCATTAGTAGTCAGTGTGAGATTGTCAGTAAGAGAACTACTGACCAGGAAAGCCTTTAACCTCAAGGGTCTCACCTGTTGTTATAATGGTCCTGATCCTTCTCATACTCTTCTCGCAGGTCGTCTTGTTTCTTGGTTTCCTCTTTGACACGTTGCTCGGCAAGCCAAACCTGTGAATTGAGGTCAGCGACGTGTACATTTTGTATTAAACTTTTGAAATGGCCTTTTCTTATATGGCTTTACTCAGCTAGATAGCTTATTAACCAAAGCGTTATATACGTGGAGACGCGCAGACAATGGACCGAGCCATAGCTCTAGAAGCCTGTTTTGGAAATGGTCTAAGACATGAACTGTTCTATGGTCATTCCCAAGTGAACGGCTCCAGACATGTCAAATACAGAGCTGATAATGATACAGAGTTGTTTTATGAATTGAATATCGCTTAGACAGTACTGTGGTCCGGACAACTCCATTGTTTGCCACCTCGACTATTCAGACAACTTGACCGTCTGTGCGTAAAAAGGAAAGACAAGTCACTCGTTAAAACAAGTAGTCTGTCGACACTAGTCGTCTGTAAAGGGCAAGTTGTCCACTCAGCCAAGTCGTCTGTTGAGACGTGTGAAATACATCAAATTCAAATGTTTTAGTACCAGGCCTACACACTTTTGAAACTTTGTGCATTGCCATGTCAATAGTTCAAGATGAACACCAAGCTGCTGTCCAGAAATTGGGCAGATGTTGGGCCGAGTGGGGCGTAGCCAGAGAGGGAAGTATGCCATGCAGCAGCGCCGTCCATCCCTGCCTACTCTCGCGGCTGGCATGATGCCACTACAAACTTTTAACAAACAGCAAAGGGGCAAATTCACCCTCTGTGCTGTTCAATAATGTACAAAAGTTCCCAGGTGTCCGATGGCGAGAATGCCACCGCACACTATGTCAGAGTACACTTGCAACGTCACGAGACGCACACAATGCCAATGCATAGAATGGTTAAAATCTCAGTACATATGATTTTTATAACACAGCTCTTAGTATCATGTCTGTGGTTAAAATTGCACCTGCGACGACCAGGCCACGAATTTAAATTTTATACATCACACAGTCGAGTTGTCTTAACAGTCGATCGAGTTGTCCAAAGTCGAGTTAGCAAAAGGTCAAGTTGTCCGACATAGTAATCTCTCTGGTGCTTAAGATTGTCATAATAATAACTATAAGTATTCAGAAAAAAATCAGTTGTTCCATGCATTCAAGCATGGAGGAATATTATTTCTACATGATTCAAGTAAAAACATTGGACCTCTTGGCCTTAGTATAATATATCTTATCTATCATACTAGTTTTGATAACGGCTCCCTACGCGCGCTAGTACTAAGCCTACAACTATCCCAGGTTGGACGTTGTCTTCCTTTACACTACCAGTCACAATGCAATGTAGACGACGTCCAACATGGGCTAGCCTACAACAAGTATTCGTCAGGTTTTGCACGACGACGACCTGTATGAACAATGATGTAGGCCTTGGCCTACATGATGTACACGTACGGTAAAATTACGGCAACATTTCCAGACAATTTCCAAGTCTGTTTCATACTAGAATTCACAGATTCTCCAGTATAAACAGTGCTGGTGTAAATCCTCTACTTACCCTTTTTATATTTGCAAAAGAGGAGGGATGGAAGAATTTTTTACACATGAAATTTGCAAAAGACTTCCCCATTTTGCTGAGAGACGCTTTTTCGACGACATGCAAATAATAACGAACGAGGTTTCTGCGTAGGCGGAAATGCTAGGCGCCCCCAATTGTCATTAGTTGAACAGTTTTTATGACGTCATGTTCAGAAAATTCCATGCCACCGATGGGGAACTCACTCGTGTGGAAGGAAACAGGTTTTTTTACACCAAAATTTCCTCTCACATTTTCCATCGTCAACCTACTTTTTTCCTGGTGTAAAGCTTACTCAGTATCCTACTTTTCGTTTTCTAGAAGAATTAAACTGTAATGAGATGGGCAGGAAAGTGATTGTTGTTAACTAGTTACCTCTTTTAATTGGTGCAATCTAAATTCTAATGACGCAAACCAAAACATCAAAAAACGTAAACATGGACGAAAACGGGGAAGGGAGTGTCGAGAATCCGGTCAACAGAAACTTTTCGGACTCCGAAATGAGGGAGTTTGAGCGTCAGGCCAAAGTCAAACTTCATGAGAAACGGCTGAGAGAGCTTCTGGGTCCACTTGAGGGGTTCATCATGTCCGTTCAGAGCCTTCTCGTGTGGGAAAAGCCAGCTCGTAGTGCGGTCATGTTGTTATGTGTCAATGGATTGTTTTGGTAAGGCGTTGGACAAAGACTGTACAACCAACTGTCATGTGTACTGACATTGAACCTTGATCGGGAAAAGCCTTAAAGCGATTTCTGAAAATTGGTTCTCGATTCACAAAACTATGTTCAGGGAAAATAACATGATTTCAAAATTTATTTTGTGACTGTGAGAGTTTTTACATTTTGGAAATGTTACGTCTTTGAAGCCTTCAAATTCAATCATGTCAGTTGATGAAAAATTTAATAGGTCTACACAGCCCTACTTCCTTCTCTTTGTTCTTTGAAAAGAGGAAAATTGTATTTGTGTTCACTTTCACACCAAGTATGAAGAGGCCCCAAGACATTTTATGTTGACTTGCTACTTATTGAAACAACAGGTTGACTGTCACTTCACACTACCGTGTTGTCTTCCTGGGAGCTGTTTCTTGCATCCTTTTTGTTTCCATGGAAACCATACGGACAAAAGTGTGGCCAGAAATAAGAGGTGGGATGGCAAGGAATTACTGTGCAGCCAAGTGTAGAATAATTTTAATCACACAATACACCACATAACAGGCTTGTAATCACATAATGGGGTTGTTATAATTTGTGTCATGTTCTTAAAGTAAAATATTGTGTAATAACATTGAGGAGAACACTCTATAAAGGATTTGCGTCCACTTGAAACTTTGTGTGAAGCCTCAATTTCCATCTGTTTATTTTTATCCTCTTTTCTTTGGCACAGTCCATCAGCCTGATGAAGACGACGAAGGGTAAGTGGACAATTAATTCCTTTGAAATAACAAGACATATTTGCTGACAGCTGGCAATAAAGGCAAACTAAAATGAAAGGTAGCAAAATATCGTGGCATCTTTTGGACTGCTTAACCTGGTAAAGAAGTCATTGTCAAAGTTATAACAACTAACTCTTCAACCCAGCATCGTTAATGTTGCACCTGTTAGCGAGTGGGAAAATTCACTGTTTATACTCAAGTGGAGCACAAACCTGCAACTCTCTGCTTAGACAACCTTAAACATCCCACCACTTGACAACTTTGGTCAAGTTTAAAATCAAATTTATTTTCTCCCTTAATGCTTTTTTAGCTGGACCCCTGTCCATCCACACTTGCTGAGTCTTCCGGAGCTGTGTGATCACGTGGCCAAGCTGTGGGTTACCATGGAAAGCCTGAATACCAGAATCTGGCAATTGCGTAAAGAACATCCCTCAAAGGTATGAGCCTCTGAACGCATTGTCAACACTTGACTTTAAATTTTTCTTTAAGAAAGTATCCAGATGCAATTATCCTTTTTATGTAGTATGGTGGCAAGGTGACATTTGAGGCGGACGGAAACAGAGGACACATAGACCGATGTACATCATGTGCGTATCCTAAATATTTATACAATCAAAAACATCACATTCCGTTGAAGAGACATGACATGGGAAGTTGGAAATCAAGCCGTAGAAGAATTGATAGAATAAAGTATAAATATTTAGGATATGCATATGGTGCACGTCGTTCTGCACGCCCTCCTTTACCGTCTACCGACATTTGAAGCTCAGGGAAGAAAACCTGTTGAGGTTTGAAAAGAAAGGATAAAAATAGGCTCGCTCTCAGAAAGATTCCATACTTTTGTCTTGTCCCAGTTTTGCCTGTACGTGTGCAGCTTGTGCCTGGTGTTAGCAGCCATTGGACATCACTTCTCAGGAGTCTTCATATCCTACCTCATTGGTAAGACTCCTTAACTATGTTATGGTGTGTGCTGATTGTGGATAAGTCCTCACAGAGCTAAGTCCTTCCTGGTTCTTTTACTAGTTTCATCATTTTATGGCTATGACTTCACAGCCCCTCCTCGTCTTCCACGATTTTTGCCAGATTTTCCCTGTAGCTTGCTTGTTTTTACTGTTGCGGCACATTGTTTTATCTGACACTGACAAGGGTTCCCATGTTTTTTTTTCGAAGTCCATCCTGTGCGTAAATCTTGTTTACAACTACTTTTTGACAACCACTCTGACAACGTATTGTGTAGTACCAGATTCTCCACAACTTTGGCAAGGTTTCTTTTAGCCACAAGACTAACTGGCCAGATAGCTTATCCTAATGAAATTCTGCAACTAGAGTTGGTATCCATCAGAAATGTTGTCGTCTTGACCTTTTTGTCCAGTCACCAGCTTTCTGCTCTGGCCTGCCTTGGAGTACCATAACATTACAGGTCATCTCTATCAGCGCATTGAGCCGATACTACAACAGCTGGATCATAGCATCGACAGTCCTCACCGGGAGAAGAAACTCAAAGGTAAAGACGTTACTGTTCCAATGGAGAAACTCAAGATCCATTTTTTTATTCCTGAGTTAGAAACATCACCACCATATACTTCTTCAGGAAATCGGGTAATCACACATTTATTCACCCCCAACAGCACAAAAGAAATTGAGGACCAGATCTCATCCCACCGCTGACACCGACAGCAGCAGCGACAGTGACTTGGATGAGTTCTGCCCCACACCAGGTCCTGCAGTTGATGCAGCACTTGCCCACGCTGCAGCAGCTGGACGGCCGACACGTAGCAGTACTGGGACCTCAACTGGTCTGTTTGGTGGTCTGTCTAAAGGCGTATCTCTAGAATTCACTGATGACGAAAAGACCAATTTTATTCAAACCGAAATGACTATTACCAAGCCCATTTGCCAAATTAGAAGGTAGCTCAGAGCATCAGTATCCTTGCTTTTTGTTTCTACTTTTCTCCAGAATTTACCGATACTGAGCCGCCAAGCTACATGGGTGGCCTGTCCCAAGTACCGTCCTTTGACAATACCCTTGACCAGAGTGCCGATGAACTGGAACTAGAGTTGCCTTATGACGATCACCCTCTGATTCTCGGGAAAGCAGAGAAGGGATTGGTACATGCGACGGAGGCTCCAGGAACCTCAGAAGCAATACGGTTTAACCCTTCGCACTTCCGCAATTCTCTGGATACGAATGATGAGGAGGGGGCTCTTGCGGAGGATTTGGAGTTCCCCGATGTAGAGGCAGATGGGAAGTCGAGCGGGCGTAGCTCTCAAGAGCTGAGAGCAAAGGATGATGAGTCCCCATTACTGCCACCCGGTGCTGCCATGCTTCTCTCTCAAACTGTCACCTCTTTGATGTCCGACGCTCTGACCAAGCTACAAGACATGGGCTCCCAGGATGACAACTCTTCGATTTCAGAACCGTCTCAGGTGTCCCGTCATCAGCAACGATTGCAAACAACTGACACCGTCGCAGACAAGGAAGCGACATCATCACCAAAACTGCTGTCGATGGACTCAGATTCAACTGATTTCGAGATGCTAGACAGGGAGGAGCTTGAGCAGGCAGGAGGAGGGCGGGTGACTGGCGATGAGAAGAAAGATGACATCCAACCAAGGAGAAGTGGTTACGGTATTGGCTATCTCACATCTTGGCTTAGTGGGAAGAAATAGATATCACTGCTGCATTGTGCAATTGGCTTTTTTCCCCTTTCTCTTTCTTCCCCTTCAATTCCAAGTATTGTAATGTATCGTCCAGAAGTACACTCCATTTTAAACGTGGTTGAAGGGTTGTTTGGTGAACGTAAGAAACGCTGCTTTCACTTCACCACTATTGTGTGTGATGCCCCTCTTTCATTGGTTCTTTTTGAGATTGAAATTGACAAAATTGTCACAAAAAGGAATGAAATATCAAAGAGGAAAGTGCTGCATGTTGTCACAAATATCTCAAGGGATAAGAGAGTTGGCAATAAAAGTAGAAATTAGATCCTTTTTATGTAATGCACTTAAGCAGTTACGGCAATTTGGAACCACCACCAATGTAGTGCCATGTAATAAGTCTTATTTGGTATAAAATGAAGTGTAACGAGTAGAAATTTTCTACATTTTAAGTTCTCAGAGTTAGTTTAACATGTTTTTAAGACCCATTGTCCTCATTGATAAAAAGAAAAAAGGAGGAAATTTGTAGGCTGTCCCATCAAAGTACATGTATATAATCCACTTTTTCCCAGTATTTCTGATCGGTATTTCTTCTTTCACCTGTAACAAAATTTGGATCAGCATTTCTTTCTTTCTTGGTGGTACGAAGGGACTAATTACATGTACATCTGCATGCAAAAAGTAGTCGGTAGTTTCATCAGTTCATGCCTAGTGAGAGATTAGACCAATTCAGAGCTGTACATAGAGAGAGTTTCGACATGAGCAGGCCTGGACATGAGCATCTCTATTGTTGGAACCACAATGGTGGATTATGCATCAGTACGTATGGACAATTAGCACAGGAGATGCAGGCTGTACTGCTGTGCGCATGACAAACTGCCAGTTTGGTTCCAAAGTCTGACACTGGCACAATTCTCTCTGTAACAGCTTTGGACCAGTTGCACAGAGTAACCAAATAATCTGCTGATTAAGGACAAAATAATGCCAACTAACGGTACAACCCAAGGCATCATCAGATGTATACTGCAGGTGCTTTGTATCTGGATTTTTGGGAAGCACAAAACGCATCCTGGCTAATACATGTATGCATTGCTATGAGATTTGTACCCAATCTTACCAGAAATAGTTTTAAGAGAAAAAAGTTCAGGATCACCAAGATTCAGTGCCCAAGTGTGAAATATAAGCGAAAAGGGCATTAAAATCGGTATCTGCCAAAAATTGTACAACTTTCACCTTTACAAACTATACAAATGAGTTATTTGGCTAACACATAATTCTTGGTTGAAGGAAAATTGAGGACTCTTGCAGCTGTGAATAGTACATGGGTTTTCATGTTTTTTGTGTTAAAAGGTATTCCCATGTCTAATCTCAAGTGTTTCAAAAATTTATGAGTTTTTAAATGGAATATTAATTTATACTTGTTTTGCAAACCATGGGAAAGAATCCACTGTGTACATTTCACAGTTTCAGCTTTTTAGTTGTAAAATGTACTTTCAGCAAATATCCAAGCGAAAGTATGTTGTCTATTCAACTTCCTCCGTTGTCCATTATTTCCAATGGAAATTATGAATTTTACTCGTAAAGGCGTCAAATGATTTTTAGATTGCCACCAAGTTCACTGCACTAAACAATATCGTAATTGTTGAATGTGGCGAGTGCTGGAATAAAGATTCTCACAAGTATGTCTTGCTTCATTTGAAGATTTGAACGTTTCCTGGTTAAAAAAAAATTAATTTATGTACCATTGTGCATTGAAGGGCAGACACATGCTGATCCATGCATGTACATGCATTGAATAAAATAACTACAGTTTTACGAATGTGCACTGGCTTTTGGGCAAAATCCACAAAGAGCCTCAAGCGGAACCAAGAGAGGGCGCAATTTTCTTAGCAATGGAGGCTCCTTTGGTCAGAACTGAACTTCACTAGTTCACAAACAACTATGAAATGCACTCGTTACAGTCACATCGCTACCAACAAGATGAATATTCCTGACAAACATGGCTCTTCTCAACCGATGAGGGGGTGCTTCTGCTGGAAGCGGATAGCATTCAACTCTTACATGTACGTAATGAAATAAAGACACACTATACTCCATTTGTACACTTCCCTCAGATCACACTGGATTTATTTCACCGATTCAAAAACAAAACGATTCCTTTTGCGAGCCGATTGCGGCAAGCGGTATATCCCACGTACAGTTAGCCAAGGTTTGTGGTGACAGCATCATGGCATTTTCCCAATGGTGGTTAATGCAATCCCTTTAAGTCCGTATCCAGACAACAGCCTTATGTTTCCTTCATTTCACGAAGGCGGCGGACAGCACTCCTCACGGTTGCTGCTGCAGTGGTGCTGTTGACCAAAACAAAACAGTACGATTGAAGAACTTCATCATCTTAAACTTTGAAACCAACTTAAAAACGCCAGGCGATTTTTATAACCAGACTTCCTAAACCCACTTGAATCTAGTGCTGAACAGTCACACTTAGCACACTCTTTGCATTATAACCTACAAAGACCACCAAGACCGACACTGAGTAACAGGGCATGAGCTGTTCCTTCCTCAATCCTGCCAAATCCTAAACAACCTCCAGGTGGCAGGTTGATGCGAACTTTACCTACCGCTTATGAACAGCAAACATAGGAAAATAAAAATTAAAAAATTCAAATATTTTAGGGGACCCCACACTAATCTTGGCAATCCTGGCCCTTCAAGCGCAGGGTGGTTTGGTCAACAAAGTCACGTCTGGCATCACCTACAGACTCACCTGTAGACCCAAGCACCTCCTGCAACCACCTTCCGACAGGCCTTGCAGTTCCAGATGCCTACGCACTTCCTCCTCATTGAATCCTGTTCAAAAAAGAATAACGACAACGCATTAAGTTACAAGGCAAGCCTACTTCTTTGTCGCAATACAAATTATACACACTTGCTCCTGACTTGAGAATGTTAAATCTGAGCTCATGCAACTTACAAGTCTTAATGCAGTGCGGCTCTGGTACACAAAGCTGGAACAATGTCTCCTATTGGTCTACGACCACCTTCATGCCCAACAAGGAGCAGCTAGCTGTCCCTCCAATTGATATTGCCAATGAATTCTGTCCAAACCCATTTTGCCCAACCAGATGAGCAGTGTCTTACTTTTCCACAGAAGACACAGGTGTACTTTCCGTGCTGCGAGATCTCGATCTTCTTGACCATCTTACGCAGTGAGGCACCGTAGCGCGTGCCATATTTCCCTGTGATGCCGACCTTCTTTGTACGCTTGGCCTGAAAGACAACGCATCACAGAAAAAATTACACTGAAGTATAAATACTGAAGCTACGTATAGCTACGTCACTTCACGCAAGTTTCTCTCCACTGCAGCAACAAAACTTAATTTGTCTAATTGAAGGCAGAGGATATTTGACCATGAACCAGTACCAATTTGTTTTTACTTTTTTGCCAGACTGGCAATTAAACATGTGCAGTAAGGGCTTGGGGTGCTTCAAGTTTAAAATTTACGGCGACAAATCTTTGTCTGGTTCTATGCTTACATTGTGATTGTAAATTGGTATTCATCAGTCCTGTTCATTAGTCCACGAGATGGAATGCAATTGCTCACATTGTTTCCCTTAAAAACCTCCAGAGCCAGAGATCACAAAAGAAAAATGAAATATATTCACTCAAATTCAAAAAGTAAAGTGCAATAAAAATATTTCAATAAAAAAGATTTAGGGACCTTTACGGATGAAGAAAAAAATCACAAATTGTTCACATTCACACTGTCAGACATGTGGGAACTTCTGTACAAAGTGAATACAAGGGGGGTAAATTTGCCCCTTTGCCACGTGTTGAAACATGTTAAAGTCCGTAGTGACGTCATGCCAACTGCGAGAATGGCCTGGCCTGAAATTGGTCTTGTAACATTGTGTTTTCAAGGCTAATTCAACAACCACTGCTGTTCACTCACTCTCATTCGGGGAATTGAGCAACTGATATACGTTTAATAGGCCTATTAATCAAAATGTAATGTGTGACAAGATGCTAACAAAATATAGGCTAAGCCTCCACTTTGATTAAATGCTAGCCATGACAGGTGCCCCACTGATTAAAAAAATACTGGTCTACTGTATTGGTTTGACCTGGGAAGCTAGGGCCTAGGTCATTCTCACAATTGGACATCCGGGAACTTCTGTACTTTACTGAATAGCATGAAGTGTAAATTTGCCCCTTTGTAGCGTGTTAAAAGATGGCATAGCATAATGACATCACGCTGACAGCGAGAATGTAGTTGGCCTAGGAGCAAAATGCCAGGGTTACTAGGCCTAGGCCCTGTATCATGGTTTAGGCCTTCCCATGAAATGAGTTTAATAGCAATCACAAAACTACTTGGAAGACAAAGGTAATGTCATTATCTCATGGATCTCACTCCTTTTAATTTTATTCGCCCAACCCTCAATGACTGATGACCATATCCTACCTACACTGTGATATTCGATGCACTAGGAATGCGATAACTTTACGCCCTCACACATTGCATTAACATACCTAGATGCCTACGTACTACAAATCCGTGACGTTACATTTACTTGCCTCGTTTGTAAGATTGAAATCATTTTACACGAAAATAAGTTAAGAGTCACGCGTTGCATATCTTTGAAATTTCAAATTTAGTGTTAAATATGAATTTCATAATTTGATCTGCTCGATTTTTGTGGATTTTATCTTCGACTCCTCCATCACTAACCATTTTCTAAACGAGCCAAGATGGCAGAGGACACTGCATTCTGGGTACTATGAGGTCAGAGGCCATAAATTTCCCCACCCCTTTAATTCATAATAGATCATTCCACATTTTTTTTAACTTTAGATAAATCCGCATTTTTGCAAGTATTTCAATGCTTATATTCCCCTTTGTCTTAAAGTACCATTGAACTGATATCAAAGCAAAAATTCAAATATTTTTGAAACTGTTTCTTTATAACGAACGTTCCATTTTACACAAAAGGTATTATTGCACAATCAAGTGTCATGTTATGCAAAATACAGATTGAGCACACTTACCATATCAGCGAATGTGAAGTCCTGACCTGTACGTAAATTCACGCTGCTTTCGTTTGTGAATACCATCTTGTCGTACTTCCCTGACAGTCTCACCACTACTAGTTCTTCATACAAGCACAAATTTAAGGTAAATACATGTATCTTTGTTACTGTTAGACATGTAAGAGACAGGATTTGCCTCAGTTTTGGTTTTTGTTGTGTCCGCAAGCTCAGTGACTCAAAATCAAATCGTTACTGCTGTTGTGTATACATGTACTTTTTGCCAGTATACGGGGCCTAGTCCGAAACCCCTATTCTTCCATCAGTCTTAGTTCTATACGGACATCTCTAATTTTCCCTCGTAGTGGTTTATAAGCCATATCAGAAAGTGATAGCATGTCTTAAAAAGTAAGTTTTAGCAGGGAAAATATGGAAGCATTTACTTATTTAGCATGCACAGAAAACACTTAGAATTAAAGAACAAGCTCATGAAGTTTGTGCACAGGATATCACGCCATGGGTGTCAAGTGATGTCCGCATATGAAACTCTTTCCAGTTGCCTTTTTTAACAGTTGAAGTTAACATGATCAGATGATTGGGTGATCCATTCCGGATACTTTGCAGGGACCATGGTCAGTGCATGATGAGCATGATAGGGCTGGGGGTGTTTGGAAGGTCTTGTTCATAAATTTGTTGGAAGGAGCTGGCTTGTGCCACTTTTCTTAGTTTCTTAATATTTGGGGGATAAAATGTAACATCTATAGTCATATTGTTTTTAACTGTCATTGTTGCAACTTCACAGATTACTTTTTAGAATAACACAAGGCCCCATGCTAAGTGATTGGGCATGTAATTTGACATCATAACGTTTGACCATTATCTTTCCAAATACAGAAATGTCGTCCCTGTCTTTCACATGCATATCGTGCCGGGTGGCCTTTGCCAGCGCTGACCTCCAGAGGGCGCACTACAAGTCCGACTGGCACCGCTACAACCTGAAGCGCAAGCTGGCTGAGATGGTGCCAGTCACCGCCGAGGAGTTCAAGCAGCGGGTGCTGGACAAGCAAGCGCAGGCGTCCCAGGCCCAGCAGGACTCATCTTCCTCATGTCAAACATGCGGGAAGCACTTCAGTACGGGGAACGCGTTCACCAATCACATGCAGTCCAAGAAGCATAGGGAGACTGAAGCTCGCATTGCTAGACAACGGGAGGTAGAGGTAATGGTGTGTTAACGATACGTTAAGTTTAGCACTTTCATTTTCCACCTGTGCATTTACAACTTTGTCTTTGCTGCAACAATCTCTTTCCAAATACATGTTAACTACCCAAACCAGTTTTGAAATCATATTTTTCCCAAACGTGGTGTCACAAATGGAACTTGTACAGTTTTTAATGCTTTTTAATACAGGTTGAGAAGAGAAATGCCAAGAATCGTGAGAAGGGACTTGATTCAGAATCAACAGCGGAATCGAAAGATGTCGCCACTGAAAACAAATCTGTTGATAAGGCAGAGACGTCAAAAACCAAAATCAGAGAGAAGAGAGAGAGTTTGGGAGGGGCCTCCAGTTCAACTCAGGATGTTGGTATGGATTTTTTCCAAGGAAAGAATTTCACAAAGGTCATTAAGTACGAGTGACCCCATTGACCTCTGGCCTTGCTTTGGTGACCTTAAACATGTTACAGTTCTTACTTTGGTTATTTTTCTCGTTGAAGTGTTGAAAGAATATGCTTTGGCTCCTTTTTAAGAACCAAATTACATCCCAGCAAATATTACAGCGTTCTTGAATTCCAGATGCAACAAAGATACCACTCGATAATTAAGTGCATAATTAAGAGTGATAACTTGCATTCACCTTTCCACTGGTGTTTAGAAATGGCAGATGATGACGACGAATGGGAAGAGATTGAGGGAGAGCCAATCACAACCACCGATTGTCTCTTCTGCAGTCACACCTCACAGTCCGTGGAGAAAAACTGCAGTCACATGACGCGAGCCCACAGTTTTTTCCTGCCAAATGTGGAGTATGTGTGTGATCTGGAAGGTCTCCTGGCCTATCTGGGTGGGTGAAAATACTTTTTACCAGGGCCAAGTTGGAGGGGAGTGGTTCTAGGGGCATACGCCCCTAAAACACAGTCATGGGTTATTTTGTTGTATAGGAAAAATTATAGATTTCTAGATGATAGATGACTTGTCTTCTTGACTTTTTTATTTCTTTAGAGAATGTTACTTTTATATATTTCCTAAAACATGTTCAAAATTCCATACATTGTCACAAGTGAAGTGAAATGTCTTAAATAACTTCAAAACTGTGTGCCATGTTTGCACAAGTATTTTTAGCGTTTAGATCCGATTCTTCATAGCTGTCTCTGTATCTGATTTCCAACAGGGGAGAAAGTTGGATGTGGCTTCATGTGTCTGTGGTGCAACGACAGAGGGCGCACTTTCTACTCATTGGATGCCGTCCAGAGACACATGAGGGATAAGGGACATTGTAAGCTACAGTATGAGGGCGACATCATTTATGAGTATGCCGACTTCTATGACTTCAGGTTAGTATTAAATGGTTCATCTGTTACGTGCTGTATACATTTTGATTCAGGGCTCATGTACTTGCAAGTACACAACCGTTCAATCTATGCCCGACGCTGTGGAGCTTCTAAGTAGAAAAGATGGATTAGCAGATTTATGTGCAGAGCAAAAATCAGCTGGGAACCAACCAAAATGCATACAAAGTGCATGACACTTTGGTTGGTTTCATGAAAATTGGTTTCAATTTCCATGAAATTGCCTCCTCATGAAATTTATCTCCACCCAGTTTTGACGTGTAGCAAAGTAACAGAATCTTATTCGGTTTGGTGCAGAAAAAGCTACCCCGACCATGCCAGAGGGGGTGAGACAGAGGAAGGGGTAGCGGGTGATAGTGATGATGATGAAGTGGACGACAGTGCGTTACAGATCCAACAGGAGGGCTACGAGTTGGTGTTACCATCAGGTAAGAAAATGCAAGTGGAGTTGTCTACAGAAGGGCCACGAGATGAGATGGGCCACCCCACACATTTTGAAGTCCAGTCCAGTGAGTGGGGTTGCAGTGCATGTGCATGTGTCCTTAGGCAAGACAGTTTGCCATAATTATGTTTCCCGGCCAGGAATTAATGGTTTTCTTTGAGGACGGGTGATTATTGAGCGTACAGTTGCCTACGTGCACTAAAATGGTCGTGCTGAGCCTTGTACTCAACAGATATTAGAAATGTCTTCAATATTTCAATTTCACCATTTTTTTAACACTCAACCAAAGTTTTCTAATATGTTGGCTGACAGGAGCACGAATCGGTCACAGAGAACTCCATCGTTACTTCCGTCAGAATGTACCTCCAGTGCGGCAAATTGTTAAGTGTCACAAGGCCGTGATTGGTCGGATAATGACACAGTACCGAGCCCTTGGCTGGAGCGGGAATAAAGGTAATATTTAAGAGACCAGCAGAAAACAAGTATATGCCTTGCAAAATTTATTAGTTGGACTTAATTCAACCACAAAGCTGCCAATGTACTATTTTACATTTCACATTTTGAAAAGCAGCTTAATAAGTTTCCAGTTCTCTAAAGTTTGCTGTCACATTTTAAAACTTTGAGATTTTGTCAGAAATGAATAGCTCTTCTGGTCTTTCTACCTTAAGGCCAGACATTCTATGCAAGTTCCATCAAATTCTGAGAAAAAGAAGCAAATACATTTGATAACCAGATTCTCAACATGCCAAAGATTTCCTCAAGACAGAAGTTTAGCAGTGGTGTGGTCTGTAATTACTTACAGACGACTTAAAGAGTTTTTTATGCATTAACCGCAACATGATAGGTTACCAGTTGCCTGTACTGACATATGAATCCATCATGCACACTCAGTCTTATGTTATCACTGCACAGGTGAGGCTGCCCAGAAGCAAATCCGAGACATGCGCTACTTTCAGAAGTTCCGCTCCAGGAAGGACCTACACCTGAGCATGAAGGCCAACAAGATGCAGCCACACCTCCGCCCTCAAGTCATCTTCTGAGGAGTGGTGTGTCGCGGTCGCATTTCCTGGTTCAAAAGCTGCGGTGTCCATCCAGGGAATCATGGTCCTTGTGTCCGCAAGCAAGACACTTTACTAATATCACTTTTCATCATGTTATAAAACAACGTATGCTCAGAGGTTGGTTCACCACCCACACATATGCAGCAGTAGTGCCTAAGCATCTAAGGGCAACATTGGTATCAGGTTTTGTAGAAACAAAAGGATCTTGGATATGCTTGAAAGCAACGTTCGTTTTGCTTTCTGAAAATCCCAGTTGGAGACATGCTATCTCAGAATAAGCAACACAAGTTTACACAAGCAATAATCACAGATTTTAATTCCTATTAATATTCATGAATGACATGCAGATGAACATGCATATTGAGAAGTGATTTGCATAAGGGCTTGTAACATCTTTGACTTACTTAATAGGACTTGCATATGAATTATATTTTGCGATTAAAATAAATTTCAAATGTATTTGATTTTGAGTGGAACAAAAAAAATTCATGGAAGCAAGATTCAAACTACTGATTTGGAGAAAAAGTACCTGATACTCAAAAGGGTAATATTTTTTTTGCATTTCAGAAATCTTGTACAATAAAATGTCTCTAATATTAATGGATGCCTGTTCAGAATTCTGTTGAGGTGTATTCGATACATTTTTTAACTTAATTCCTGTGACTGAAAAGTTCATTTGGTGGGAGCAGATAAAAAAATTCAACCCAATCCAACAATCACCATTGCTTCTCAAAAGGGTGTCCGTGTATGTTATGAATTCCTGAAATTCCTTGCCTTGAGAAAGTTTTTTGTCGGTGAGGATGAAGCTCACATTACACAGTACGCAGGCAGCATGCGTCCCTCTTTTTAACGGTTCAAATTTCTCTGTCTTTTAGAAGGCGGTGCGTCCTTACTCTCCTCCAAGGCGCCGGTGTTACATTCGACCAGGGGTTTCTTGACGGCCCAAGGGGTGCTAAACAGGGTCTTGGATTTCTTGATGGGCATCACAGATGGGGCATCCTTGAGATTTTGACTGCCCTCCTTTAATGTGTCACGATGTGTAGTCTCAGATGCCACGGAGGCAGCTGTCTCCTCTTTAGAAGAGCTTGCTTTACTGGTAGTGTCGCCAAGCATGCTAGAACTGACCAACTGCAGTTGATGGTCCTTGTCAGCTCTGACAGCTGTCCAAGAATCCTCTGCTTTCCCAGCATTCATAGCTGCATCGGCGCTATTCTCTGATTCCTGTGACTCCATGGCCACCAGACAAGCCAGATCCTCCTGCTCTAATGTCTTGTCATCTTCCAGGAAGGACTTCTCAAAGAAAGACAGGATGCTCTTCTGTCTGGGATCCTGAACAGGAAAGTAAAGAGGCTGGCTGCATCAATTTTTATCTTTAACATTTCACAAGCACTTGCAACTACAATGGATATCATGGTATCTATGTGAAAAGGAAAATAAACTTGGTTGCTCTAGACAAGGAATAATGGAACACACCGTATACCAACCTCTAATAAAAACATACAAAATATTAATGTGCAAAATGTGGAGAGAAAATTTAAAATTCTGAAGAATGTCGGTGAAATACTGCAAGTCAGCGAGGGCGTACCTTCAGTGCAGTCATGCCAGCTTCTGAAAAGTCATCTTTGGACAAGCCCGCCTGCCCAAGCACAGACAGTTTCTTCTGCACCAGCGGCCTGATGACATAGACAAACTTTTCATTCAACAGTTGAACATCTGATTCTGTGTTTGATGTTATCACAGAGGCACACTTTGCAGGTGTGCTACAAAACATAAATAATTTTCATATTTCATTTCCTGAAAGTTCAGCGAAAAAAATCGACACTGCTGTTTCAAGATAACAGCATAATGAAAACATTTTCCTCTGAATAAGGGTAGAATTATCAAATCTGCTGCAAACTCAGACCAGCCGTGACTGAGAGCATGTAGGAATTCGCAATCCTTGACCTACCATATGTAGTCATCGGCTGTGCCTTTGGCTATTAGATATCGTATGTTGATTGCATCCTGTTGTCCAATGCGATGAACTCTGTCCTCTGCCTGCACCAGAATCTAAGAAAAGCCACACTAAGTCAATAAAGCAGTTAATGTGATAGGCCAATGGCATGCTGAATTCTTTGGATTGTGGGAAAATGGGCACTGAATCGGGTGTAGGATTATTTCCAAATCTAACTTGTGTCCAGGTCAAAACTTGTGGTGTTAAGATTGATGATGAAAAGTAAAACAAGTTTTGGAAGAAGTTTTGGGATCGGTTTCCAGGCAGTATTTAAAAACAAGATACAAAGATTCCACCTCGTGCAAGGTTTTCCAAATCACAAGACAAATTTTAACTCAAATAGTTTACCTGCCAGTGATTTTTAATAAACTTTAAGCAAAAGCCCAAATCCTGGAAGGAACGAACTTACCCCTGGGTTCCAGAACAATTCTGCAAAGACAACCATGCTGGCTGAGGTCAGTGTCAGGCCAGCGTTGGCCGCGGTGATGGACAGGACGGCCACACGACATGCCTCCTCCTCCTGGAATCTGTCGCAGCATGCCTTGCGCTGCATCGCCGAGGTGCTGCCATCGATGCGGATATAGTCATACTTCTACAATAGGAACGACATCTTGATTTATTTTGTTATTTATAGTGTGAAATGATTGTTGTCAATTTTAACTGATGGGTGCCAATCAGCCTTGAGCTGGACCAAGAGAGGGCACCATTTATTGAGTAACGGAGGCTCCTTAGGTACTAACTGCGCATCACTGGTTCACGAATGACTAGGAAAAAAGCAAGCATTGCGCTCGCATCGTTACCAACAAAATGAATACTCCCCACCAACGCAGCTTTTTTCAACCAATGAGGGGGTGCTTCTGCTCCAGGCAGATAAGTAAAGAGTGAGGAACACAACCAAACTAGCAGCTTGAAATGACGGCATGCCCTTTACTCGGCTTCTATCAACGTACCTGCAGCAGTGAATAAATGTATACATCAGGCATGCAACTTTTCCTGGGATCAGCTGATGTCCTCGTTTTTCACTTCACATTCATGCCACGGTAAATTGAAAACCACTGTGCAAAGTCTTGTAATGATTGGAATTTCCTCCTTTTTTTGTCAAAGTCCAAGTTGCACGGCTTTTTGTACATTTGTATCATTATCTGGCCACTGGACATTGCCCACTTAAAGAATTAAGGCTTTTCTGGAAAGAGGTCATTTCTTGATCCAGGAACGAAACCTGACAAGATCGGAGTTGAACTGTCGTGTCTTTTCCTTGCTTTACCTTTTGACTGATAGCTACACAAAGGGCATCCAACACGGACTGATGATGCGCAAAGATGAGAAACTTGTGATCAGCTTCCAGGAGATCCAGTACATAATCCCTGAAAACAAACAGAATTCCAAAAGGTCATTTTAAGAAGCCAACATTTACTGAGTGTAGGGACAGCATTTCCTCATCTACTTTTGAGTTGAAGAGCAAAATTAGCATAGGAGTAAGTTTGGGCAGAACTTTGAAATTTCTGGAAACACTGCTTGATTAAAGTGAGAGAAAGTCAACCTATGACTCCCGAAGTTTGGAAAACCAACTCACCTAATGGCTGGCACCTTCACCAGTCCAGTCTCAGCAAAGTACTTCAACAAAATGCCTCTCTGTTCCGATTTCTGAACCAATTTAAAGGGAAAGATGAGATAAATGTTAGGTTGCAACACACTTAACTTTCAAGAGAAATTGACAACGCGTGCTTTAAAGTGTGTGCACACTGCCCTCAAGCATCTGTGCACAGAGCTGATATTAAATTGAATTTTACTTTAACCCACTGGTTTTCCATTTATAAGCTGTATGGCTACTGACGTTGCAATTAGCAATTAGTCAAGGGGAGAGAGTTTAAAACTCGACAACTTACAGACTTCTTTTTGCCCATTTCGTCAGCTGCAACCTTCAGCGACTTGCTGTTTGTTTTGACAACGGAAGGGTCCATTATGACCTGTTACAGACAACAGGCGTTAACATGGAAATAAACCAAATATCAAAAATGCTGTTTCACAAAATCCCTCAAAATAAGTGTATTTAAAATATGGTGGACACAATAAGAGGGCGCTATTTGAAGTGGGCTAACTTTTGAGCAAAGATCAATGAGTTTACCAAACCAAAGAGTGTCCTCCTACTGTGTACACAATACTTCAAATAGGCTGATGATTACAAGGACATGGATTTTTATCTCTAATTTGTCGAGTTCTTGCTCACCATCTGCCTGGTCTTGGAAGGCAGTTCCTGAAGTACGTCTTGCTTCAGTCTTCTGATCATGATGCACTCTTCCAGCAGGAGTTGCAGCTCAGTCATGTTGGAAGAGCCAGAATAGTCCCAACCCCATGGATTCTGAACAGCCAATTTCCAATTTTACATGAATATCATGATTAAATCACCCTTAACTCAGCTCTGTCATTCTTGGATGTAACAATCATAACAGTTTGTGAACTGTCTAGCCCTACAAAAGTCCAGCTACAAGATTTTCAAGAGCCTTGTTTTCCAAACCACTAATTTCAAAATTTCAAGAACAGCTTTAGGCCCTTCTAAAATAAACCTGTTAATGACAGCTGCTTACACTGTTGAAAGAAGGAGAATATACAACACAGCCTACATTGTTGAAAATGTATAAGGCTATGTACAATTTCAAACAATACGCACTGAGATGCTACAAGTAATACTCACGGAATGAGAAATATATGCCAATGAAAACACAGATTTCAACAATACAGTTTGTATATCAGGAAACACACACAGTGTTGGAAATATTCAGGATTAAATACACAAATTAAAGAGCAGGACCACTTTCTGCAAATGTCTAGAGGTAATCACCTGGGTTGCATTGCAGTACCTTAGTCCAAACTCATGGAATGATGGGAAGAGTCTGGAGCCACACCCAGGATCTGGGTGTAGAGCTCGGATGGTCTGGACAGAGCAGGGGTACCAGACAGGAGAATCACACGTGGTGCTGCCTGTAAACAAAGGCCAAAGTCACTGACTATATTTTTAGAGCTTTTCTTTCACCAGCTGGGCCGCTTTCTAATACTCGACTTGGGCTCCGTCTCAGGCTTCAACTGTTTTTTTTTCTTCCTGACTTTGAGGTTGTAAGGGCAAAAGTAAGTCTGATAGTGCCACAAAACATCAAGTAAGATGCAAAAGAGCCAAACATTACAGTACAGTACTTCAATGTAAGTTAAACGCTTCAGGCCCACAATCGGGGATTGGTTTCCTACACGAAGCCTGAGATGGAGACGAAGTTGAATATTGGAAAACGGCCTTGGCTTCTCAGGGCTGGACATTCAGGGAGTTTGTTATGTTCTCCATAGCGTGAAAGGGCATGAAGGGGAAGTTATCCTGCCAACTGCCAGAAATTGGATCACTTTGTGGTCCTTGAAAACATGCCTAAAAAGATGACTCATTTTTACCTTGAGAAGTGGAAGAGCTGCTTTTGTTCTCGCTGTCTTGACGTTCTTCAGAAAATGGCACTCATCCTGTAACATTTTGACAAAAAAAAGCACAAAAGTCATTCATTGTATGTAGCCGAGGTCTGACAAATCCTGGACAAAAACATTTCACTTCTGATTTCCACAAAACCTGCAAAAAGCTTATCTGGTTTACCTAATACTGCTGTGTCCAAATTACTTGGCTATGGCTTGAAATTACACACGACTCTGTGGGAATTGGCTGTAGCCACTACTATAGACTGGTGAGTAATTTTTAGGTCATAGCCAAGTAATTCGGACACGGCCTATCATTTCAAACTATTCTTGTTTAAACCACTATTCATAAATATCACAGACAGTCTCCCTATTCAACGACGTATAACTTGACCGTGCATTTGATAATTCCCACTGAGAAGTGATAATGCCCGCTGCATGAATTACGCGCTGGCACCTGGATACGAGGCAGTTTAATCGATTCTGATTGGTCAGGGGTCTGTTGCACACGGCAAGCCACGCGCGTACCAAGTCTATAGAGGGAAATCCTTTTGGACAACTTGCACAAGGAATATACCATAAAATGGATGGGGGGTGTTCAGGAAAATGGAAGTAAAATTCTAGAACCAAATCGTTGGAAATCCATCTTTTTGACTCTCTTACTAAACAGGGTATTGATGAATGGGAATAAATATGTGCTTGGTTGCAGCTCGGGCATCAGTTGCATTCATTCTCCTGAGCCAGTCTTAAACTGCACTGGCCAAGCACATATTTATTGATGATGACATCCTCTTAAAACTGTCTGTAGAAAGCACAAGGAGATAATGAAGATTTACCATGATTACGACTTGGAAGCGAAACTGTTTGAGTTCTGCTGCTTTCCTGTGCATTAAGTCATAGCTGAGGATGTTCACCTGACCTGAGGTGGCCCAGTTTTTACTGTTCAGGACAACATTGATGTCCGTTGGATCAAGGGAAGGTACCCACTTCTCAAAAGCCTGGCCGGAGGAAATGGGCAGAAAGTTTCACTTGAAATAACACTTTGCAAATTGTTATAAGTCTTCTGCTCCAACCTAATTTAGAAACTCTTTGCAATTTTCCCACTTTTTACTCTCTGAAGCTAAACATTTCCTCATCATTCCTTCCATGTGCACTTTCCTTCCAGATCTTTCAAAATTAACAGGGAGATTTTGTGGGATTAAGATAAGTATCATAACTTTACACAGGGCTCAATGCTGTTTGAAACTTTGAAGTGCAATAGGAGCCTGGGGGGGTTGACGATTAATAGGGTGAACGTTTGAGGATTTTTTTATTACCACAAGGAATTGAATAATCTAGTTGCATCATCATGACTCACCTCGGCCCAGGAATGCCTCACAGAGGAAGGTGAGACAACAAGCACTGGCCACTCTGTTCGGTAGTAGCAGGCTATGCAGATAGCCTGCAGTGTCTTACCAAGACCCATGTCATCTGCTATCAGGACACGACCCTCTCGGCTGATGGCAAAGCTATGTAGGAAGACAATGGACCAATCAGGAGTTGTACACTCAAGGAAGTCCTCCCCTCTCCCTTCCCAGTAATGCCAACAGAAATTGCCAGTTACTGTACAAATTCTAAAAAACTATCAGGGGTCAAGGCTTTCGAAAGTCGAAATCTAGACAAAATGTTTGATATGATGAGAACAGGACCCAAAAGATCCAACTCCAAGTTGCCCTAGAGTCCGTGCATGCAGACAAACTTCCATTAGTGACACTGAAGTAACTCTCATTTTTAACTTTAATTCCTAAATGCTTCATTAACCCTAACCCTCCTCAATCCTTCACCTGTTGGAGGACTGAGGAGTGTTAGGGTTAAGCAAACATATAGGAGTTTCAATCAACTAACCCATGTCATCAAAACTCCACACAAAGTGAACTCACACATGCGCCCACCCCCAAGTGAGTGCCATACCAGGGGGTTAAAACAAGCAAAGCTTCTGCCAAAAGTAATGTGCTTACTTGACACCCTCCCGCTGGAAATTCATCAGCGTATCCACCAGTTTCTCATCCAAAGATCTGAGGTTGGCGTCAGGTACAACACGTTTCCCTTCCTGGCCATGGCGTTGCCTACGGAAGGCTGCACACACCGGCTTGGGTAAGGGTTCGATCTCCACTGCTGGCCTGAGCGGCTTGACTGCTTCCACTGGATTAGTCATAATTCCAATAATTCATACAATTTTACAAAAACATGATTGTGCAAGTTATTTGAAAGAGTGAAAACTACGTGAGCTGTGCTCATATGAAAAAATTTCTTCAATGCGATAGAAAAGCAGACTGTCAAATTGATTACGAATCAATAATGAAATAGATCAATAACATCTATCTTAATTTCATTTATCAATCAGTCAAGATTTAAAAAAAAACAAAATTTAGATCAATTCATCAACACTTACTCAGTGTGTCGTAATCTGACAGAGCAAAAGACCATTTCTTCTCCGAAGCATCTATTTTATCAAACAATAATGGAAATAGCAAAAACACAACTAGTTAGTATCATTGCTACTGTGCAATGTTGACAGTAAACTCAATTCAAGTCTGTACCAAAAAAAAACAATGATTTGAAACTGAACTTAACCAACCGTAACATTTGCTGGGGATTTCCTTGAAGATCTCAATCAACTTGGCATGGTATCCAACATTCACCACAAATCTCGTCCTTGATATCAGCACACAAGTCCCTTGTGAGGTACTTGATTGTCCGCCTCCAAAGTTGGCCTTAGCTCCACCCCCTTTCTGGGAGAAATCCGGGCGTTTCACGACAGAACCCTGGTTGTTTGTGCGTGCCTGGAAGCCCGAACTTGCTTTTTGAGCCTGTGAATACAGACTAGCGGTCACACTTTGAACAGTGCTGTTTGACTGCCCAGAACTGGCCTCCCCTCCAGATGTTGGTCTTGGTTTTGAGGAGTAGAAACTCATGATAGTTTTGGGTCGTGCAGTATCAGAACTGGTGTTTGTAGATGGAACAGTGTCTCCAACTTGGAGTTTACCCTGTCTTGGTGGATTTATGTAAACGCTGCTGGATGTTGTTACACTTGATGACTTATTTTCTAATACATGTAACTGTCTATTGCCAGATCTATTTGAAAACTGTACTGATCCTGAAGGTATTTCATTCTGAACTTTGGTTTTAACTGCAGTATTTTGATTAGCATCATTGAAACCTTTTGGTTTCGTGAAGACAGACGTTTGCGATTTTTTTGACCAATCGGATGCCAATGACAAACTTGTGCTAGAGTTGCTATCTGTACTTTCTTTAGATCTCAGATTTGTTTGGAGGTGGGATGATTTATGACCGTCCTTCCTACCAACGTCTTGTGTGAGTGTTGCACTTTTTCGTTGTTCCGATGAGCTTTGGTTTGGCTTAGCAACCTGATGGTTGCCTTGGTTACGCTGAGCTCGCAGAAGAAGTGCCTTTTGTCTGTTTTCCTCCATGCGTCTTTTTTGTTCGGCAGTAAGACCTGATGTCGCCATGTTGACAGAACTACATGTAATGATGTAGCTGAGAAAAAAGAGAAATCTTTGCGAATTATGTCTGAAAGTGAAACCTACTGCCATTCAATTTTGTAAGTTCAGGTCTAGGTCAGGGCCTAGGCCTATGACTGTGGTGGGTGAATGGTGGATTTGCACATAAATTTGTTCGATCACACAACACTATGCCACCTGTCATTATCGGTCACTGTGCCGTCAGCTGATCACCTGCCCTTTCTTTCTAAATTCACGTCAGGACATGGCAGGAAGTTGGACATTTCCTTGGACACAATGTTGCATCCTGCTACCACTTTTTTTCATTAGTTATAAGCTCAATGAATGAAGCAAGGCCAGTCATTGTTAACATGTATCCCCAGAAGAGTGTGGGTCTGCCCCACTCCCACATTTGATTAAAGTCCAAGTTACTCGGACTGCATACAGTGACAGAGTTTGTGCACAAAGTGGAGTCAGGACGGTGCGACCTATCCAGCTGTAGACATCTGGAAACTTCCAGATGCCATGCGCTTTCAGGGTGGGGTTACTCAGGGGATTGTAATTTGGGGACCCTGTTCCTGTAATAGAGGGGGTGGAGCTACATTTTAACTTTTGAATTCATCTTGGGCAGGTTGGGAGATGACTGTCACACCATGCTCAATAACTATCAGACTTAGGGTTCCTGTTGTCAAAAAGAGTAGGGTTTTGAGTTTTGAGGGAAATTTTGAGAGGAAACTGTGAGTGTTTTAACACATGACACATGGTGGATTCAAATTTGCATGGTTAATTTATCAGTTTTAAGTCACATTTTCTCACAATTTACAATTTTGAAATTTTCCAAAAAATAGGGTTAGGGCCTACGCCAAGCACAATAAAGAGAGTGTTGATTTTTTTAGGGGGGACTTACCAGTTTTGCAAGGTTAACGTTAAAATGTCAAAAAACTGGGGTCCCCAAGTATACAATCCCCATTACTTAAGCTCGAGCAGGCCTAACCTATTAATCATAAACATGCCATCCTATCCTACCGCACAAACTCCACGTGTCGGGAATAAAAGACTTTAGGGCTAGGCGTACCATGTTTACGGTAAACTCCCTGACACTGCCTGATTAGGTTGTCATGGTTGTGGAAACATTGTAACGTTACGCTTAATTTTCAAGAAAATTTGATAAAAATACCTTTTAAATTTCACTTTCATATTACCATGAGGTAGGCCTATGTGGATATAGTCAAAGGCGAATTTTTAAACGTTGTTTCGTAACGGTCTTCTGCCAATGCCACTGTGGAGATCAGCTAGTGGTTCAAACGAACTGCCATTTTTTTTCTTGAATGCTGGGAAAAATTCGTCCCCAATCTGTCCAATCACATCAAGTGTTCTAGCTGCACTCAACTTGTAGCCAATGATAATCGTTGTCACAACATATCTTAGGCGTCGAAGAGCACAGGCGCGAGATTTTTAATTGAGCAGACGTCGTGACGGTCGGAGTGGGGATGGTTGAATAGGGGATTGTTTTGCGTATTTTTACAACTTTTCCAGAATATGTAACGAAATTGGTGCACCAAATGAAGTGCGTTGTGAGTTGAAGAAGCAGTAAAAATCAAGTGGAGTCTAAAACGATGAGTAAATCCAAGGATTCAGACGGTAATTTGAAGGCCAGGCTTGGCTAGTCTGTAGCATAGGCCTCGGGCCTACTCATTTCTGGCCGAGGTTGGACGCAGGGAGTCCACCTGGGCTACTCCTTATTCATGCTGATACCGCATGAGGAGCAAACATTGCCCCCATTTCCATCACACAGTGCCTTTCTACCATTGTGCAAAATCACTCATTAGCAACAAGCTTAAGGCTTAGGCCTAGTATCATGCCTATATTTTTGTTCCGCAGAATTGACATGAGCATGGTGAGGCACATTGGCTGATATCTGCATAGGCCTAGGGCCCTAGGCCCTATGTCAGCATGGTCAGGCCTGTTTTACAGTGGTGTACCCGTACCCCCACAACTGTGGCATGTGTGGGGTCTGCCACGTGGGAGCGGGACAGATGTCGGACCCCACAGTTCTGGGGGTAGGCCTAACAGTGGTGCACGTGGAAATCAAATATCAGTCAGGGTTGTTCATGTCATTGTTTATTTATGCAATCTTGAATCACATAGCCTACTTAGGCCTAGTAGTAGTATTTTATACTAGACGTGCAAATTTATCGTAGGCCAGGGGGGGCTAGGCTTATAGAGGCCTGCGTATGACGTCCCGTTAGAAGGTATTTCTTTCTTCCGCTAGGTAGGATAGGCTCAAGTAAACCTTTTATGCATTCATTATCATTAAATTTAAATAATAAAGCATGTCCTCTGGGAGGGTGTTCCAGCAGGCCCTCTATACATGTAGCTACCATGCTTGGTCTACCCCTAGAACTGTAGGGTCCGCCCCGCTATGGTGGACGTCAACAGGGGAATTGATCTTTGTGTGGTATGTCAAATGTCAATCTTCTTACACAATTTGCTTATTTTCTGTATCGCCAATTGTCTTGTTTTGCATGTACATGTAGACAAGTGGGTATAGATGTTGGAAAATCTTCCGTAGCAGTACCGAAAGTTCAGTGTTAAAAGAGCTTAATGTTGTCTTTTCTTTACTTGCAACAGCTGTCGCTGCCATTTTGGATTATTTGAACCGACAGAATAGGCCCTACAGTGCCATCGATGTCTTCAACAACCTACACAAAGAATTTGGAAAGACAGTAAGTTTATTTTCATGAGTGATGACTACGTTTATGGTGATGAATGCCGTCTTACGTTGGGGCAAAAAAACAGAAGCATTGGTTTGCTCGCACTGCACACAATTGAGCATTCATATCTACATGTATGCTTCCATATCATCATAGGGTTTACCACTTTTTGCACACGCATCCAGCAAAGCATGCATGTTCTTTTTGCCCTCTGAGCGAGGTGGCAGAATTAACTTTAAATTATGTACTGTACACGTATTACTGCTTCACGGTTTCATTTATGGAGCTAACACAGTGTATGCCATTCAGAGTCAGTTGGGAACGTGTGCACTTGACACTGTGTAAGTCACAGTGCTTCATCTTAGAAATTTGGTGTCTGAGTCCAGGCACATTGGTCGTGACTTGTGTCAAGTTGTTCATTTTAACGCACGAAATAACTTTTTGAAATAACCCTTGTACTCAGACAAAAAATAAAATGGAACAAAGCCCTTAATATACAGAGCTTAGGGTCGAGCCTTTGACGGAGCTTAACAACCACTCGAGCCATCAGGACGGTCTACATGTACATGTGCACTTGACCTCTGAAGCCGTCCGTGCAGTGCCCCTCATCAACAGTTGTTACAGGGACCACAGTTGTGATCTTGACTTGTTGTCACAAGAGCTGTAAGTCCTCTAGATTTGATGCTGATGATCTTCAACAGCAGCACCAAAGCTGTGACAGCAGATCTGCAGACTTACAGGTCGAGGGTCAGTTTGCGTACATGAGTATTTGAAGTGCGGGTACATGTACATTTAGACATATATAGTCCTATCCTCTGTCATTCCATGGACGTGATTATTTCCAGTTGGGTCCCACCAAGTTTAGCCTCAAATTATTGAATCCTACGTCATCGTACACAAGTTAAAAGAGGTATATGTACCGTACATGGTCATTTGAAAGTTGGGGGGAATTTTTAACACGATGCAGACACACGTTTTATAAGTTTTAACTGGAGCTGAACGGTCAGATCAGCTCCAGGTTGATACAGTACGAATGTGTACAAGGTGTTAGAAAGATCTTCATTTTTCAGGACAGTCTTGGCCGTGCCGGAGACGTTGGAGTAGCCCCCACAAGATTTAGTTGCTACATTAACTTTTCCCTAGAACAATTTGTGATCCAGGCAATCCGCTCCCAGCAGAACAAAAGAAGGCATGTTTTGGTACTCACCACATAAACACGCCTCAAGTATATGCGCGTTTGATGCGGAGCACGCTGAGTACGCGTAACTAATTTATCCCGGCATGTATGGTCTTTGGGTAGACGCAGAATACTTGAAAGAACCCACTTGTAACCACCTGTCTTTCTTTCGCCGATTGGATGTGCACTTCAGCTCGGGGCGGATAGAGGAACAAGCATGTAATGATGCACACACATCAGTTTGAAAAGTTTGAAGAATATCTTGAGATAGACAAAAAGTCCAGTCCAAGATGTTGAGTAATGTGACTTGCGATGAATCACCACTTCTGGACGTGCATCGTAAAATGAGCAGATCTTTTGTAATTTGTTAGCAAGCCCTCCACAGCTTTAATACTTGATTTCCCAGGTGTGGCCTGGGGGTTAAGCAGAGCTAACAAGTAATTCTATACGAAGTTTGTGATTCATTCATTAAGCGGCTACTTCCATATTAAGTGGGACGGTCTCATTGGCTAAAAACAGGTGTGGCTGTGGTGGGTGGGGGCAGTATAGCGCCCTGAAATTCCACCAAGTCCCCTCGGCATACATGCAGACTCAAAAAATTCCCAATATCTGCCAAGTAATTTCATGCTCCTTGTAAATGCACCTTGAGGGTCACAAGCATGGGAGTTTTTCTGTTTAAATAAAATTTCAGATTTTCACCCCTTTCATTTCTCAGTTTTTCTTCCGTTTTGTGCACGTACATTCAGTACTACTACTTCAGTACTTCAGGGTCTGCTCTGTGCTGGAAACTTTTTCCCTTTTTTTTCCTTCAGGATCAAATACCATGCCTGAAGTCAGTAATTTCAAAAAGAAAATCCTCAGTCATTGTGTTGTGAAAACGTACATTTAGTTACCTGCCAGAAGTAATCTTATACTACTACACCAATTTCGTTATCAAAATTGTCACCATGACTGTGTGTGGTTGTACCAGTGCCCCAGGCTCAGTTACTGTTTGAAGTGACATGGATGCGCACGGGCCACAATGCTCTTAGTCATCAAGGTATAAATTCCTTCTTAGTGTGTAGCTTATGAGCTTACCTGTAAGTTTGACTAACCATTTCATCAAAATACTCTAATAGTGTCTCATCGCCTCTGGGAGATTGAGATCTTGTAAGATCTTGAGGTTGGCCTTTTTCTTGAGACTCACGGCATTAGGTAGTGAATAATGTCCCATAATTGAACAGTCATGCGTTAGCCATCAGATGAACCTTCAGATGCTCTTCAGTTTTCTAAGTTTAACGTGGATGATTCTGCTGTGTTGAAAGTTTCTCCAATGTTGTAGATAAAAAACCAGGTCTAAAAATGGAGGAGGGGGACAATGATGTCGTTTTATTTGGAGCAGCCAGAAAAACAAAAATTAGTATTTACAGGCATATAATTTTGCAAGCTGAAATACACATTACATTGACTTAAATTTGCTCCCTGGGTTTTTTATTGTTGTGAACTTCGGTTTATAATCACTGAAACATCTCATAAACTCTGAATTTTTGACAGTAATGTGAGATAAAGCAACTTTCAGCAAGAAAGTATTCGTGCATTGCATTGCTGATCAGTTATCACTTTTACAGTATTGCATTAACCACTTCCTGCCGGGCGATCTGTTTTTGAGTACATAGGCTTTATATGCAGAGCCAGGGAGCCCGGAACTGGGACAAAAGAGTTTGGCCTTATAACAAAAGACCATGCTCAGCACAAAGACTGAGCTGCTTGGCATTTAAATATACCAACATTTTTTCGCTCTCAATAGTGGAGATAATCCAGCCTTGGTTTGAAACAGTATACCACTGTTTTAGGCATTTAAAGTGAGCGGATTACCACCGGGGACAAAAGCTCTCCACCACCGCAGCGATGAGCCACACAGTACTGCTGCATGCTAATCTGGCCCCGATTGAAAAGAGGTCAGCAGTGCACTGCGCCGGGTTCCGGAGCAAAAGAATCTTACGTAACACCGCACAATCTGGGCTCTTTTTGCAAGGCTGCAGGCCTGGCTGAAATATTCAGGAGTCCATGAAGGTCACCTGTCAGCTTTAGAGTAGTGCCCAAAGAGTCCTTCATGTGGGTATAAACGGCCATTAAACGAAATGATGAATTTTTAAAGATTTTTGAAAATGGAAAGTCTTGAAAAGGACCCAGCATCTTGTCTTGCTTAAGAAAAATCCACCTGGCAGCAAGTGGTTAAAAATACATAGCACCCATTTTTAATATAATGAAAGTTTTACAATGGGCTCCTACGGTGGGAAGTACACTTCGCCGGTTCACCAACGACTATGAAATGCACATTACGATCACATCACTACCAGCAAAATGAACGCTCCCACCAAACATGGCTCTTTCCATGAGGGGTTGCTTCTGCTCAAGGCGGATTACAGGTTGCAGTTCACTTCAAACTGTCCCTTCTAAGTTACACCTCCTTGCCAACCCTCCTGAATGCTGGTGCAGCCTATCTCCACAACACAGGAAGGATGCAATCAATAACATGTGAGCTTGTATTAAGTGATTACATTTTGGCAAATGTCTTTTGGGGTTTTCATGTCAGGAAGAGACTATTTAGGAAATGTTTTCTTGGAATGATTACTTCCAAACAGGGTCAACAGACCTTATTAGTGCACGTTCGACAGTAGAACAGAGAGTTGTACATTGAAGTCATTCCAGCTGTTTTCCTGGATTTTCCTCTCTTTTTTGTCTATTCATGCGAATCTGTCTTTATAAGGGATAATGTGAAAGTACAGTGGCCTAAAACTTAAGACACTTTACTATTAAGGAATAAGTAATGTTCAGTAAATTTTTATTCGCATGTACATGTAAAGATCTGGTTGTGATTTGTGTCTATATTTGACGGTTAGTTTTGAGCAAACAACTTCTTTTTTCGGGCTGCAGCTGCAGCAGTCTGTACAAAAGTACATGCATGTACGCACATGTACCGGTGCATGTCTGCCTTGTTGACCCTGGATCCCAATTTTACCTGTTCACATTTGACTGCCAGTAAGTCATGATAGAGTTTACTTGTCATCGTGCATATTTTCTCCTGTGGCCATTGGCTTGAACTGACCTGCTCTAAGTTGTGCTACCCCTTACATTGACCGACTTCCTTCATGTGAGCGTCAAAGTTGCCTGTCATTGCACAGGTTTGCTGCGCTGCGACTACTTGTAGTCGGTGACATTTTGATGGGTGTTCATGCAGGACAACAGTATGACAAACAGGAAGATTCCTCAGCCTCATTCAACTGGACCAGTGGATAATGAACAGAGTGGTGGAATGAGTGATTGGGAGGATTGACGCGTAGAGGAGACACATGTGGCAAGTTAAAAAAAGACAGTCCCAGCTGAATTCCTCGTGGGCCTAATTGCTTGAAATTACTGCATTCATGTTTGAGGCATTTTTTGTTTATAAATAAACAATCTTTTATATTTGATGATTGTTGTTATATAAATGTAACATTATGATTTGCACATCTAATGTACATGTATATGCCAATATAATACAACTTCTGACGTAACCTTGCATTGTTCATTGAAATTCAGCAAAAGATGTGGTTTTTAATCAAATGACTTGCCTGGTGTCAATGGATTCACAACAACTGTAAACTGACCCATTAGATGCAGGTCTAAGCAAAGATAGGATTGCTGGCCGTGATGCAAAATATTGACCAAATTTAATCATCAACGTGTTTTCCTCTGATGTGGAACTTGAACTGGTCATAATAGGAAATATGGTCATAAACGTGAAGGGGTTTAAAAATATCCTCATAGGATTTGCCTCGTTAAACACCTTAATTGTTTCATATGACAGCTGTAT